TCTCCTCCAGACCCCGCGGGCCGAGCGGCGCGCGTCGCCGATCACTGACATTGGCGGGCGAGGGGGTCGGATCAAAACTCGTGCTTTGCTCTCGCGGAGGGCTGCAGCTCCCCCAGGGAGGGGCAAGGTCCGCACGCGGCCCCCCCCCCCCCCCCTACCCGACCGCGCGGCAGAGCCGGAGTCCGGGTGAGGGCGGCAGGGTCCGCGCGTGCAGCGTGCCCCGGGATCCCCGCGCCGCCCTCGAGGTCTGCAGGGGTGCTTCCCGGGCGTTCCTCTCGCCTCGGAGAGCTCTCCAGTACAGTCGGGGCCCTGAAGAAGAAACCTTTTTCGTTGGGGAGGGGCTCCCCGTTCCTGAAGTGTGTCGCAGCTTGCCTCAGGTTCTCCTTCTGTTTTCGATCGGAAATCGAAGTTTAACTTATGGAAGAAAGGGGCCTCGTTCCTTATTTTGGGTTCCTTAGGTCAAGGCCCCGACTGTAGCTTGAAGTCGGGCGTGTCCCCCTACAGGGGACATATTCCAAAACAGTCAGAACATAGCCTGGGGATCATTTTTTGAATATTTGTTTTGACCATTTGGGAGCATTTTTCGAGTACTTTTCATTTTTCGTCGAAAATCCCCCTGTAGGGGGACACGCCCGACGTGACAGTAGCCGCGCCTCGCAGAGGGCGTTCGACAGGCAGGGCTGCAGGTGTTTTGAGGTTTTCGGGTGTCCTCGCTGGTTCCTGGCGCGATCGCAGTCCAAAAATAGTCAAAACATAGTCCAAACATAGCCTAAACGTAGACCAGAAATAATCAACAAATAGTTTAAACATAGTCCAAAATGGTCCAAAAATAGTCCCGCCTCCCTCGCAGGTGCCCCCTCCTTGGATGCTCCCCGGGAAGCTGTGCCTCGCAGAGCGCGCCCGGGGGGTGCTGGGCTCCTCCCGCGCGGCCGCCAGAGGCCCGAGCTCTGTGGCCGAAGAGACCCGGCGCCCCGCGCGCACGGCCTGCCTGGAGATCCTGGCTCCTCCTCCTCCTCCTCCTCCTCCTCCTCCTCCTCCTCCTCCTCCTCCCTCCTCCTCCTCCTCCCTCCTCCTCCTCGTCCTCCTCCTCCTCCTCCTCCTCGTCCTCCTCGTCCTCCTCCTCCTGGCGTCGCCTTTCTCCTCGTCGTCCTCCTCCTCCTCCTCCTCCTCCTCCTCCTCCTCCTCTGGAGATCCCGGCGTCGCCTTTTCTCCACGCTGGGAGGCTGCGCCCGGCTTCGGCCCCACGGGACCCTCGCGGACCGAGCTTGCCCGACGTTTGCCGCAGGACGATGGGGGTTAGGAGAGGGCCACGTGCGAGCCCTGCCCCCTGCCCCCCGACGATTTCTGAGGGGGAGGGGGTGGGGTTCACCTCGTTCGGGAGCTCCCGAGCGAAGTGAAGCCCACCCTCCCCCTCAGAACTCGTGGGGGGAGGGGCAGGGTTCGCATCTGGCCCCCTATTCCGGGCCCCGGGACCCTCGCGGACCGATCTTGCCCGAAGTTTGCCGCAGGAAGATGGGGGTTGGTAGAGGGCCACGTGCGAACCCTGCCCCTACCCCCCACGATTTCTGAGGGGGAGGGTGGGGTTCGCCTCGTTCGGGAGCTCCCGAGCGAAGTGACCCCCCCTCTACCCCCCTCAGAAATCGTGGGGGGGGAGGGGTAGGGCTCGCACCTGGCCCCCTATTCGGGCCCTGGGACCCTCGCGGATCGACCTTGCCCGAAGTTTGCCGCAGGAAGATGGGGGTTAGTAGAGGTCCACGTGCGAGCCCTGCCCCTGCCCCCCACGATTTCTGAGGGGGAGGGTGGGGTTCACCTCGTTCGGGAGCTCCCGAGCGAAGTGACCCCCCCTCTACCCCCCTCAGAAATCGTGGGGGGGGAGGGGTAGGGCTCGCACCTGGCCCCCTATTCGGGCCCTGGGACCCTCGCGGATCGACCTTGCCCGAAGTTTGCCGCAGGAAGATGGGGGTTAGTAGAGGTCCACGTGCGAGCCCTGCCCCTGCCCCCCACGATTTCTGAGGGGGAGGGTGGGGTTCACCTCGCTCGAGAGCTCCTGAACGAAGTGACCCCCACCCTCCCCCTCAGAAATCGTGGGGGGGGGGTTCGCATCTGGCCCCGTATTCCGGGCCCCGGGACCCTCGCGGATCCATCTTGCCCGAAATTTGCCGCAGGAAGATGGGGGTTAGGGCTCTGGTCGAGCTTTCCCTCGGGACGCTGCAGAATTTTTGGCGGCCTCGGAGCTCCGCGCCCAGACCTGCGGCGCTCTGCTCTTTCCCAGCACGCGCGCGGCCCCCGGGAGGCCGGACCCTTCCGCCAGGGCCAGCTCTTCGTCCCGAGCCGCTTCCGACGGCCCCGAGGCCCGGCGAGGGCCCCCAGAGGCCGAAAGTGGCCAAGAGACGTCCCGTCGTGATCGTGTCACGGCGCACGCCTGGCTCGGAGGGCGGCGAGGCGGGGACGCCGCCGGCGGTGGAGCTCCTGCTTCTCTCTTGGGCAGCGGGCCTCGTGGGCGAGGCCTCGTGCGCCGTGGCGGGGCGCAGCCCGGCAGGGCTGGCCGGGTGGGGCTGATGGGGCGAGCTGCAGCCCTCCGCGAGATCAACAGGGGGCCGCGTGCGAACCCTGCCCCCTGCCTCCCGACGATTTCTGAGGGGGAGGGTGGGGTTCACTTCGCTTGGGAGCTCCCGAGCGAACTGAAGCCCCCCCGGCCCCCCCTCAGAAATCGTGGGGGGGAGGGGCAGGGTTCGCATCTGGCCCCCTGTCCACGTCGCGGGGAAAACACGTGCGTTTGATCTTGCGGAGGGATGTAGTTTTTCTGGTGACTGGCTGGCGGTTCGGTTGGCTGGCTTGCTGACTGGCCGCTCGGTTCCATGTGATTCGCACCGTGCGCTTTTTCGCCCAGCCTCGGCCCTGGGGGCCACTGCAGAGCGATCGGGCTCGAGAAATGCAGCAGAGAGACGGGGTCCAGTGCTCTGGTCGTATTTTCTTGCGATCTTGTTTTTTTTGCAACGTCGGGTCTTGGCTGGCTTGTTGGTCGGCCGGCTGGCTGGTTGAATCGGCTGGCTGGCTGGTCGGTCCATTGGTTGACCGGCTTGCTGGTTGTTGACTGGTCGTCTCGTCGATTGCTGTCTGCTTCGCTTGTTGTCCAGCTGGCTTGGTGGCTGTTATGCTGGTTGTATAGCTTGTTGGCTGATTGGTTGGTTGCTTGATTGGCTGGTTGGTTTTCTGTTTTGTCGATCGTTTGGCTGTCTGGTTGGCTGGCTGGCTTGTACACTGGTTGGATGGACTGGCTGGTCGGCTGGCAGGATTGCTGAACGAGTGAGTGTTCGGCTGGTTTTCTGCTTGACTGGCTGGGTGGTCGGTTTGCTGGCTAGTTGGCTGCTCGGCTTGCTTGTTTGTTGGTTGGTTCGAGGGATGTTTGGTTTGCTGGTTAGTTGCCTGGCTGGATGGCTGGGTGGCTGCCTAGTTTGCGGTTCACCGGCTCGTTGGTTAGTTGGTCAGTTGGCTGCTTGGCTGGCCGGTAGGCTGGGTATGCTGGCTGGTCGGCCAGTTGGCTGGCAAGTAGGCTGGCTGGGTGCCTGGCGAGCTGATCGTTTGATTGGCTGGCCGATTGGCTGTTTGGCAAGCGTGCCATCGGTCGCACGCCTTGTGTGAAGTGACGTGGCGCTTCCAGTTCCCGTGCTGGCCAGGCCTGCCACGCCCAATGTTGACCAAGATGACGCTGCTGCTTCGGGCCCAATAGTCAAAACATAGTCTGGGGACTATTTTTAAAGAGTATTTCGTGACCTTTTTGGATCATTGTTTTGAGGGGTTTTTGACTCTTCGCCGAAAATCCCCCTGTCGGGGGGCAGGCCCGACTTAAGTGCGAGAGGCCGCAGTTGGCTTCCACGGTGCCCAGAAGGCATGAGGCCGCCGAGAAGGTACCAGGCGCCCCAGGCAAGCAACGCTCCAAGATGGCGCCGGAGCAGCCCCGACAGGATTCAACACGGCTCTGCGCAGGGCCCCCGAGAGCCGAACATCTTGACCGGGATTGCCTGCCAGCCGCCCCCAAGATGGCTCCAAGACGGCGCACAACGGCTTCAAGATGGGCCCGATACCCTTTCTACCCAGACCCCCTCGACTTATGAAAAAATCACGACGGGAGGTTTTTCACTATTTTTGGCCTTCGGGGGCCCTTACCGGCCCTCGGGACCGTCAAAAAACGACTCAGGACGAAGAACCGGTCCCGGGGAATGGGTCGAGACCTCGGGGGGTCGACGTCATGAAAAAATCATGACGTCGGGGGTCTGGGTAGACAGCCCCCAGGTCCATTCCAAACGACGCCACTGGACCTTACCAACTCCGAAACTGGCCTCAAGAGGTCCTCCAGTGCCATTTTGGGTCAAGCTTGGATTTGTCCAACAGCTTCGAGGCAGCCGCATCCTGCCTCTGCTGCGAGCATGGCTGGGGCGTATCCGTGGCCGGTGACGTTCTCGGCTGCGCTGACTGTCCTGAGGACGACGCTGCGGCAGATCCCGCCTGCCGTGATCCGATCGCCCTCGGTGCAGCGAGCCGTGCAGCTCGTGGCCAACAACTTCACCAAGTGGCCCTCCGTGACGCTGCCCGCGGGCGTGGTCCTGAAGCCCGACGCCCTCGGAGAGCGGCGCGTTCCTGGGGAGTGGCTGCTCCCGAACGGGCGGGAGGACATCCCCGAGCGCTCGGAGCGCCTGCTCCTCTGGGCCCACGGCGGGGCCTTCGCCCTGCTCTCCCCGGGCTCCCACCGCCGCTTCCTGGCGCAGGACCGGGCAGTGCCACGGAGGGGGGCCACCCACGAGGGGGGCCACCACCTCCTGGGAGATCGAGCACGCACCCAGACCCCGACGCCACGAGTTTTCAGAGTGTCGACCCCCCCCCCAGAGCCCCTCGAGTCATGAGAAAATCGCGACGGGAGGTTCTTCGCTAGTTTTGGCCTTTGGGGGCCCTCACCGGCCCTCGGGACCGTCAAAAAACGACTCAGGACGAAACACCGGCCCCGGGGAACGGGTCGAGACCTCGGGGGGTCGACGCCACGAAAAAGTCATGTCGTCGGGGGTCTGGGCCCAGAGGTCTCGACCCCTTCCCAGGCACCGGCTGCTCGTCCCGAGCCGTTTGGTTGCCAGTCCCCCGGCCCAGGCAGAGAGGGCCCCCAGGGACAGAGCATGGCGAGGAGCCTCCCGGCGTGACTTTGCAGGGCCGTCTCCCCCGGAGCCCCCGGCGGGCCTCCGCTGGGCGCTGGCGGCGGGCCCGCTGCCGTCCCCCGAGGCGGCGGGGCGGCGACCCCCTCCGCGGTGACCTCCCTCCCCAGGCGTGCGAACGTCTTGCTTCGTTTTCCCTGCGCGGCCCCCCGGAAGCGCCGACCCTCTCCCCAGACCCCCGACGTCATGATTTTTTCATGACGTCGACCCCCCGAGTTTGTATGCTTATGCCACGTATTGCTCCCCTACTAGTCGACGCAGGTCGTGGTACTGGTCCATGCTGGCCGTCGCCGACTCGCGAGGATGCTCCACGAGTGGACTTCGACCAAGGCGGGCGATGACCATGATCGACGCCCACGTTCCCAGACCCCCGACGTCATGATTTTTTCATGACGTCGACCCCCCGAGGTCTCCACCCCTTCCCCGGGACCGGTTTCTCGTCCCGAGCCGTTTTTTTTGACGGTCTGGAGGGCCGGCAAGGGCCCCCCGAGGCCAAGAATAGTGAAAAACCTCCCGTCGTGATCTTTTCATAACTCGAGGGGGTCTGGGCAGCCCGGGATCTGGCGCTCCCGAAAGGCTGGCGCGGCGGATATCGTCTGGGCTGCCTGCGGCCTCCCGGGGGGGCCCTCGCCCCGCCTCGCGGGGGCCGTGGCAAACACATCGATATTCGGGGCGGAGGCCACCCCTGGGGAAGCGATCCGCACCTCCGCGGCCCACGCACCGAAAAAATCGGAGCGGCCGGATACCCAGACCCCCTCGAGTTGTGCAAAAATCACGACGGGAGGTCTGTCACTATTCTTGGCCTCTGGGGGCCCTTGCCGGCCCTCGGGACCGTCCAAAAACGGCTCGGGACGAGAAACCGGTCCCCGGGAGTGGGTCGAGACCTCGCAGGGTCGACGCCATGAAAAAATCATGACGTCGGGGGTCTGGGAACGTGGGGAAGCGATCCGCACCTCCGGGGCCCACGCACCGAAACAATCGGAGCGGCCAGATGTCTGGGGTGCCGACGCCGATCGACGCGACATCGACGCCGATCGACGCCAAATTTAGACGCTCAGTCGGCGCTGTCTCGTCGACTCCCAGGCGCTACTCGGCTCGACGCTCATCGACGCTGAAGCGACACAACCGCGAGGGTACGCCAGGCTCCGATGCTTTGCTGCCGAAGCTATTCGTCTCCCTTCCCCCAGGGCCGGTTTTCCAGCCCGAGTCGTTTGCTGACGGCCCCGAGGCCCCGCGAGGGTTCTCCGCAGGCCGGACCTGGCCCCCCCCTCCCCCCCCGCCGTGATATCTTAGCACGGCGCGCGCACGTCCGGGCCGTGGCGCTGCCTGGGCAGATTGCGCTCCGAGCGGACACCCCGGTCTTCAGGAGGGGAAAAACACACACAGACACAACGAATCGGCGACTCCCAGAAAGTATGGGGAAATATGGGAAGTGTGGGGGAAGACAGACATCCAGAAGATGTGGGAAAACATGGGGGATCCTTTTATTGGTGTGTACCCAGACCCCCTACGTCATGATTTTTTCATGACGTCGACCCCCCGAGGTCTCGACCCATTCCCCGGGACCGGTTTTTCGTCCTGAGTCGTTTTTTGACGGTCCCGAGGGCCTGTAAGGGCCCCCAAAGGCCAAAAATTGTGAAAAACCTCCCGTCGTGATTTTTTCATTACTCGAGGGGGTCTGGGTATCTATTTGTGTGCCCAAGTTCCCCTTTCAGGTCTTCGCCGTGGACTACCGCAAGCCCCCGGACTTCGCCTTCCCGGCCCCGGGCGAGGACGTGCTGCACGCCTACGGCGCGCTGCGGGGCGGCCGGCGCGCCGAGCAGGTGTTCCTGGGGGGGGACAGCCCGGCGGCGCCGACGGGGAGGCAGCGCGGGCCTGGGGGTGAGCTTCGAGGAGCCCTGAGCTCGGGGCGCTGCAATCCCAGACCCCCTCGAGTAATGAAAAAATCATGACGGGAGGTTTTTCCCAATTTTCGGCTTCCTGGGGCCCTCACCGGGCCTCGGGAGCGTCAAAAAACGACTCAGGATGCAAAGCCGGTCATGGGGAAAGGGTCGGGACCTCTGGGGGTCGACGTAATGAAAAAATCATTACGTCGGGGGCCTGGGATTTCAGGAGGGGAAAACACACACAGGCACGATGAATCGCGGATTCCCCAGAAACTGTGGGGAAATATGGGCAGGGGGGGGGGAAGACAGAAACCCAGAAAACATGGGGAACTATGGGGAATCCTTTTATTTGTGTGTATTTTTGTGTGTCCCAGGGCCCCTTCACAATTGTTTGCTGTTTTCGCACCCAGCGTTGTCGCCCGTTCCCGGGCCCCGTGACCATGCAGCAGGAAGCTGGGGTCTAGAGCTCAGGGCCTGGTCTCTGGAAGTGCTTTTTCGCGCTGCTGCATTTCTTCGCAGCTTCGGATCTCAAGGAAGGCGCGGGGGGCTCAAGAATGCAGGAACCCCCTCAGCAGGGCCCGAGCAGAACGGTGTTTCTGCGATCTCGTCGTGGGCCGTTCTCGTTCTGATTTCGCTTTGCAGCAAAGGCAGAACGAAAACAGAACGAAGGACAACGAAACAGAGCAATCACGAAAAACACTGTTTAGCTCGAGCCCTGCTTCTCAGAAGGGCTTGGGCGGCTTCTAGGGGAAGGTCTCCCTTCCAGAAGCCCCAGGAGGGCCCTTAGAAGAAGCCGCCTGCCTTCCTGGAAGCCGCCCACCACTGAGGTCCGATGAGGTCCGACGTTGCGAACAAAAGTGCAACATCGGACAAACAACTGCTGGAGCCCTCCTCCTCCTCCTCCTCTTTCTCCCTCTCCTCCTCCTCCTCCTCCTCCTCGTCTCCTCCTGCTGCTGCTCCTCCTCCTCCTCCTCCTCCTCCTCCTCCTCCTGCTCCCCACCGACCCCGCCACCATGCACCAGGCCATCGTGCGGCACTGGGCCCCCGCCGAAAAGCAAGTTGACGAGACTCTGCTCACAAACTACCTCGACTCGGTTTTCCCTCGACGTCCACGAGCTGATCTTCCCATCCCTGACGCAGAGGATCTCAAGAAGGCCGCCCGCCTTGCAGGTGACTCTGCACCAGGCCCAGACGGACTACCCTATCGTGCCTGGCTCCGTACCCCCGACAGCTTCAACATCCTGGCCGACGTCGGCCACGACATCACCACCAACAATAACATCCCGCATGACCTCAACTTTTCCCTCATGGCCATGTTTCCGAAAGGTGGCGAACCTGCAGGCAACGCGGAGTGCACGCGTGCCCCAGAGTGCTTACGGCCGCTCTCAATGAAGAACACCGACGTGAAGCTGCTAGCGTCCGCCGCCAACAGTCAGCTTCATTCCCTCGCCGCCCTGACCTCGCATGAGCAGCAGGGCTTCGTCTCAGGCCGCCAGTTCCTGAACAACGTAGTCACCGTGGATGCAGCTGCGCGCAGACACAGCCTGTCCCCCACAGCATCAACTGACATGCCTGTTTTCGTCAGCATGGACATCGCTGCCGCATTCCCCAGCCTCGGTCATCAGTGGTTGTGGGACGTCATCGAGCGTTGGGGCGTCCACGGCCGCATGCTGCGCCTGCTCAAAGCCTGCTAGTTCTGGCCCGTCTCGTTCCTTGACCTGGGAGGTGAACGTCGCCCCCTGTTGATCGCAGCATCGGGTGTAGCACAAGGCTGTCCCTTGAGCGGCACCATCTGGGCGCTCGTCTTCGACCCCATCATCATCGCCCTCGGCCGCGAGTTCCGCGATATCCAGCGCGGGCTTGTCAGCGCCTGCGCCGATGATCTAGGCATCATCTTAGCCAGACTGTCAGACATCTCCCTGCTCGCCCCGCACATGATCGCTGCCGAAGTACTTGCAGGCCTCCGACTGCAAGCCAAGAAATGCATCGTCGTTCCCACATGGATGCTCCCCACACAAGACATTGTCGCCGAGATGCGCCACATCCTCGCGAACGCCCACGCCCCTTGGTCCAACTTCAAGATCGAACCTATGGCACGCTACCTCGGCTTCTTCGTCGGACCAGGTGCGACGCTCGAGGACCAGCGGCGAGGGCCCTCTGTCAAGTGGTGGGACCGCGTTGAGAAGCTCGCTGTCTCGCATGCCCCGCTACAATAATGCATCAAACTTTACAACGTCGCCGCTGTCACCTGCCGGGGGTACGTCGGCCAGCTCTTCGAGCCCCCTGAAGGCATCCTGCAGAAGGAGCTGCAGGCATTCAACAAGTTGCTGCGAGTCGCCCCGTCCAGCTTTGCGATGTCCGACGTTCTCGCGATG